AGAGGCCTAGATTCCACAACAACATCTTATTCAAGTCTGAATCAAGGAGCTACACTGGGAGGGCACAGAGATCAGTGGTGGAGGCTAGAAAGTCTGCACCAGCAGGATGAAAGGTCTGTCCCAGCAGGATAAGGATCTTCACTGGAGGTAGGAATTGATGCTCAAAGTAAGGACAAGAGTTCCCCCAAAGAAAGCTATAGCCATCCTCAGTGACTGTGAGGGCTCAAGCTCCTTCAGTGATAATAATGTGGCAGAATTCAGCAAGAAAGGGAGGGAGAGGGACAGAGAGAATGAGACTTGTGTGATAGCATGATAGCGAAAGTATAGGGACAAAGAAGCTTTATTAAAAGCTGGCAGCTGATAATTTGACACCAAGTCAGGAAAACACATGTTGACCTGAGTTGGACTTTACTTCCAGGTTATATACTTTCTAAGTTTCCATAGCAACCACATCATGGGAATTCTACAATCAATGGATGAGATTTACATTTCCCAGACACTGTTAACCATTTTCCAGTGATAGGACATGGTGGTTTAACATTTACCTTACTTTCTTCTTCTTCTTCTTCTTCTTCTTTTTTTTTTTCTTCTTCTTCTTCTTCTTCTTCTTCTTCTTCTTCTTTTTTTTTTTTTTTGGTGGTATTAGGGATTGAACTTGGGACCTTGCACTTGCCAGGCAGGTGCTTATGCTACTGAGCTATCTCCCCGGTCCCTTCCCAATTTGTTTTAACTATTTGTTCTTATCTTTATGAGCCACATAGGAGGGGGTGAGGGAGTGAGTTTATCTACAGTTTAAGTGAACTTAAATGACTTTTAAAATGGAGGCACTTTTGCCCCATCAATAACAGCTGAAATATCAAGAAAGTGAAAGTAATGGACTTTTCCAGGAAAATCAAAGCACACTTGGTCTTTCCCTCTTGTTCTCCTTTTATGCTTCTGGCAGCAACCCTCAGGTGGGCCTTCCACACCCAGCACCACACCCAGTTGAGCTGGGTGTTACAAGTTGACCATGATGGAAGGTTCCAAGTGCACACAAAAGCAGAGTCTAATGATCCTCCTGTCCTGATCAGCTCACATCAGTGATGATTGGTGGTGGCCAAGATTCTTGTTAAAGTTGTCCCTCAGTGACTGTGGACAGGAAAGCTCAGGACTCTGAGGGCACCAACACCCATGGCTGCTCAGTCCCTCCAGTATAGCAGTGCAGTTTGCATGGTAACCTGTGCACACCCTCTACTTTAGATCATCCCCAGGTGAATCATGAAAGTAGTTGCAATACTGTGTTGTTTGAGTACTGATCAGGAAAAAATCTGTATGTGCACTAGGCAGATGCAATTTTTTTTTTTTTTTTAGCCCAGCTGCATCCTGAGCCCTTTTTATTTTTTATTTTTAGACAGGGTCTTTACTCATTGGCTGAGTTTTCCATACTGGGCTCAGTCTCAAGATCCTCCTCCTTTAGTGTCCTGACTGCTAGGATGATAGCCGTGCAATACCAGGCCTGGCTAGATGCAATTTTATTCTATTTATTTTTTAGCGCCAGGAACTGAACTCAAAACTCAAGCTTGCCAGGCAGGTGCTGTATCACTGAACTATATTCCTAGCCCCATAGATGCAATTTTAAAAAATGTTTTCTGAGATTGTTTGAATTCATAGGTGGTGAGCCCACAGATAAGGAGTCCACAGTGCTTTGAGCTTGTTTTAGGGAAAGCTTTGTTTTTTTGTTTTTTTGCGGAACCAGGGATTGAATTCAGACCCTTGCACTTGCCAGGGAAGCGCTTATTCTACTGAGCCATCTCCCCAGCCCCAAGCTTTGTATCCTTGATTGGAGAAGAATGCGTCCGCGCTTCTGCCTGCTCTTTGGGCAGGTGGTGGTGTGTGCTCGGCACAAAGAAGGCCCTGAAGCCAGAACAAAGATTATCATTTTGGTTTTCTCCCACCATAAATAGCATCCCCTGAGTTTGATCCCTAAGGGAGAGGTGAGCAGAGATGGAGGCTAAAAGCTAGTGCTTGTGTCGGTTGTTAGCCTTGAGGGATTGACCCAAATCCCATTGCTTTTTACTAAAACCACAGATAAATAGACTCAGCTGCTCCCCCAGATAGTATCCCTAATATCATGGGAGCAGACTCAGCCAGCCAACCTCCCAGGCCTAGAAGCCTAGTGCAGCCTCCAGAGCCAGCTCCTGGTATACAGGGGCTGGGCTGGGGGTAGGGCTCAGTGGTAAAGCCCTTGGCCTAACAAGCAGAAGGCCTTGGGCTTTATCCCCAGCCCTGCAAGGGCAGTAGGGGAGAGGAAAGAGGTGAGGAGAAGGGAGGGAAGGGGGAAGAAAGAGAAATGCTTATACATGAATTTGAATCATGTTGTGTGATGATACCTGTGGCCAGGCACTGGGAATTGAGCAGGGGAACTCAAGGATGGGGTTTGCTAGAGCAGTGGTTCCCAGGGAATGGAGCCTGGACAAAACTCCGTCCATGAGAACCCGGGTGTTAGTGTTCCGGGGTAGATGGAGTGCTGCGTGTCTGCTTAGAGCTAGTTTCCAGGTTCTTTCTGTCTCAAACGAAGAATTGAACAAAATAAGCGAAATCAGTGACAATATTTATTTGAAGTGCTATGATTGATTGGGCCAAACGCAGTCCAGGTTCTTGCGTAGGACGGAAAGCATTGCCAAGCATGCAGGCTGACCGTGAACTCACAGTGATCCTCTTGTTTCTCCCTAGTAGCTACAGTTATTGAAGATCATGGAGTTGTGGCAGGGACAGGAAGGGCAAAGGGAAAGAAGGCAGAGAGAAAATAGGGCTTGAGTGTAAAAGGAAAAAAAGGCCCTCAATGACCCAGGCTTGCAGCATCTGTAGGGTCATACACCTGGGGTCCGAGGTACTTCCTAGGATTTTTCTGACATCACTAATGTGTCGGGCATTGCAGCCTCTTAAGCTTAAATCTGGACAATCATTTAGGGTAATCATTTAGGGTGGTGTGGTGTTTATAGCTGAGGGAAGGGGATGATCCTGCTTCTTTGTTTCTAATTGTACTAGAAGGGTAGGGGAGACCTGGGGAGATAGCTAGGTGGTCTAAGCGCCTGTCTAACAAGCTCAAGGACCTAGGTTTGATCCCTGAGACCCTGGGCATGCTGAGCAGGCCAGTGAAACTGGGCAGCTTGGTGGCATACACCTGTAGTCCCAGCACTGAGGAGGCTGAGGCAAGAGGATCATTTCAAGTCTGAGCTGTGTAGTGAGACCTTATCACAAATAAATAAATAAATGATAAAAACATAAAAGAGTAGGGGAGAAACACAATGCAGAGCAAGCTTGGACTGAATACAAGAGAGAAACAAATAAATTTCATGCTTGGGGCCTTAGGAATTACTTGGTGTGGTGTCCTGGGGTCTGGTTACATCTGTTCCCCAAGTGGCTTTAACATGCCGTGCCTTCTTGCCTGGCTGGGACAGTGACACGGCTGCACAGCGAAGGCAGATTGCTGCATACTATTTCAGATAAGGCAGCGCCTTGTCCCAGGCTCCAGGGTGATGAAACAACCCTTTTCCTTGTGTCAGGGAGTCTGATGTTCCTGGCCACCTGCCTGGGTGTAATAGTGTCCCAAGTGTGGTTCCATTTTTGCCACAATTCTATTTTCAGCCTCCTGAATTCATGTTTTTCTGGTCCAAGTTCCGGATGAATCACCACTTTCCTGTCTCTGTACACCAGAAATACCTGAGGCTTGTGGGTTTATTCAGTAATACTGGGTCATAGCCAGATTCCAGAAAAAGGACAAGAAACAGCTCCGAGATCAACAGGACAGGTTTTTTGCAGAACAACCCTGAGAGGGAGCACCGTGACACTGATTCCGCAGCGGCCGCTCTGTACAGGCGATGGCTCTTTCGTAGGGTTGCAGGGAGGGGGAGTTCCGTGAGAGGAGACTGTGGCTCCCTGCCTAGCACAAGCTCAGAGAGCACAGTGGTCATGGCTGCCCAAGGACGAGGCTTAGGCAAGCACAGGGATTGGTGGCCATTGTCCACTGCAGGGCTGACCTGCCGAGTCCCCAGGTGCAGCTGCTCTGGGAGGGGCACTTAGAGGGGTCTCAGATTGGGATGGTGACAGTTGGATTCCTTTACCCTGTACATGCCAGTCACTCCTGCCCTGCCCCGCCCCATGTGCTTCTGACGTCTGGAGCTCTGGTGCTGGCCACGGCCTGCTGTGTCTGCAGCGTGTGACCAGCCACCGTAGCCCAGCAGACGCCGGCCAATCTCATTTTCAGATCAGCCTTCATGCAATGAAGGCATTTCACCTTTGTCAGCCTGAGCTCAACCTACTTTTTAGGACTTCTGTCTTCTGAATCTTTTTCTCTCACTAAGGGATTAAGAACATGGACTCTGGAGCTGCTGATTGTGCCCTTGGAAAGATGCCTAACCTTTCTGTACCTTCTTTGGCCATCTGCAGAGGGAAGGTGACCACAGTCTTTTCCTTTCTAGGATCGTTGCAGGCAGATAAGTTGTGTACTTGCAGCATTTAGCGTCATGCCTGGTGGGATGTAGGTGTGACCTGCCTCTGGAGATTTACTGCCTGCACTGATTCTGGAAAACATTTTTCCAGTCCAGGCACCCCCAAGCCCTGTGAAGACTTCCTTCCCTTCCAACCTGCTTTGGTCCTTGTGCTCTGATCTTGCTTTCTTTCGGCCTGTATCCTCGGTGCCTCTTCCTGCCCAGAGCTTCATAGATGCTTCAGGGAGGCTGGCAGCTGCTGGCTTGTCCTCCCTGCTCCAAGCGGGGCCAGGGAGGTGGCTATCCACATGCCCTGGGTGTGTTGCACTGGGTGGTGGCACTGCCTCTGTATCATCCATGGAAGAATGCACAATGCCTTGGTTGTGCATTGTCACAGGCTTAACTGGGTGCTGCCCAAGGCTGTGGTATGGGCATGGCAGCACTAAAGAGAGGCCAGCTGGTTTGGGGGCCGAATGTGTAGCCCTCCTGCCGACCCCAGGCCAGGTCCTGACTTATGTCCCTCCTTTTCAGGGTCTGCTCTGCCCAGAGCCAACCAGCCGGCTTCCCTGCTGCCTCCCTCTGAAGAGGACGCTGCTTATGCCATAAAGACTGACCTTCCTGTGATGTCACACTCTGAGGTACAGCCCTTCTGCCTTCACATACCCTGGCTTGGGGCTGCCTCACAACTAAGTCCACAGAGGGTAACTGTAGGTGGTGTGCAGCATGTGAGGGCCGGGGCACAAGTGCGCTTTATGTGGTATATGTTTGTGTTTTCAATGGTGGAAGGGAGCTCCGGGCCCTGCTTTTGGTAGGCAAGTGCTCTGTGGCTGTGAGGACATGTTTTTAATGAACTTCCCCATCATACGTGTCTGAAAGAGCTCAGCTGGTGATTTGCGGCCTCTGCCTTGCAGACATATTGGACACAGTGGACATTTGCTGAGAATCCTAGCCTCCTCCTGGCTTTCTTTTCAGCTCAGTTGCCTTGGATTGAGTGACTTAGTCTCTGTAATCCTGAAGTTAGAGTGAGTTGGGTTCAGGGATGCACTATGACTTTTGTGTATCTTAGCCACTTTTGCCTTGATGGGCCCTTCCCTTTGTTTAAAAAAAATACCCCAAAATTATCTTTCATGACTAAATTGGTATTGAGATGAATATAATCTCCACTGGTTTAAAAAGTAAAAATGGGTCTGGGGGTGCAGCACTTGCCTAGCGTGGGTGAAGCACTGGGTTCCCTCCTGGGGGTAGGGGGTGAGCAGGAACGAGAGAAGGACAAAGAAAGAGAAAGCAAATAGAAGGGAGGGAAGGAAAAGAATTAAAATAATTAGTTTTTGTGGATCTTAAAAGGGTTATGGGCTCAGCTGCTGGGGAAGAAAGCAGCTCCGGGGCTGGGTCATGGGCTCGTCCCTTAAGGAGACTCTGTGCAGGGGTTCGTGTTCTGGCTTCATGATTTTCAGAGAACCCCTGCACACGTGGGAGAATGATCATGATGCAATGTCATGGAAACGGGAGAATGATTATGATGCAATGTCATGGAAACGG